AATTTTTTTAAAACAAAAGTAAAAAAAATGCACATATAAGCATATCATCACACATGATGCAATGAAGTTCGCAATCTAAAGTCAAGTTCTATGTTCGATTATGGTCAAGCTTTTGGGTGTCAAAGGGTACCATGGTTAAGAGTTTGAACGCGTTAGCAAGGCAGCCTCCCTTGAGGGTGTATGCCAACGAGTGGCTCCACGAGTTTGTGATGAAATCGAAATCGACTCCATGGTTTGGGTGGATTTAAAAACTCGGATGAACCCTTATTGCCATGAGCGTTTTCAGGTTGATAGAGCATATATAAATCCCCCGGGCTAGCCACATACGTAGAACACGTACTATTGTGGCAAAATAGGTAAGCTAAAATGCATATGCATATGTGACTATGCCAATTAAATCGTAGGAATACAATCCAAGAATCTTTCAAGTCTCATCCACTCATCTCAATTAAATACCGATCACTCAAATCGATAAATAACCAAGAATCCTCCCCAGTGGAGTCGCCAAATTGTAGGCGTCGTTCGAAGTGCGCCTACGTTAAAGCATGTGTGAATATTCTTGGCACTCTTAAGAAGTGGGAATTGACATAATATGATTAGGGATAAAAAAAAAGTAGGGAGCCTCCAACAAGTTTTTAAGGAACTTGTAAACCGTTCACGGATCATAAAAAGCAACCACAATAAAGGGACAACAAAAGCAACAACGATTGACCCGTGAAGGTTACACCCCATTCATAATCCATGAGATTACTAACTTCATATGGTTCGGAACCACGAAAGGAGGATCGAGGATGATGGTACGAAGTGAGTCATGGAATCACATTCGCTCGTATTGGCCTCTACTCGATTCTTATAGTGAAAAGTGATTCCTGCGAGCTCAAACACATGCAAACAAAGATTCAATTTGCTCCAAACTATTATTAAGATAAATTGGTTGAATATTAATGCAACATATAATTCTAAAATATTTGTGATCACTTGAATTAATAATAAGATTAAAAGGAACCTAAACCGGTTGTCCAAATTATCTTATTAGGCGTGATTTTCAATTACATATTCCCTTTAAACAAGCAATATGATGATCATAAATAAATAATAGAATAAACATTAATATTGGAAGCAATTTAAAAATAATAACGTTAAAATAATAAATTAGCCTAATCATGATACTAGCAACAAGAATAAAAATCAGAGTAATTAAGTGATTAATTACTCACTTTCTGTGTTTCCTTGAATTGCTACATCATGAATAAAATGTTGGTAACTTCAATAAAAATATAAATCAAATGGAATTAAATTAAATTAAAAGTAGAGTTGATTTGGTCCAAACCCTCAATTAATTATAACTTTCACGCCTTGGTTTAAGTATAGAACTTCGTGTATTGTATGGACTCCTTGGAGTGCTTAGGGGAAGTATTATGGAAGAATAGGGAGGCTAGTGTTTAAGCTAAAGAGGGAGAAGAGAATTATTTGATGATCAAGATTTTTGATGATGGAAAAAGGGGAGATATGACCTCTATTAATAGAGAAAAAAGAGGGATCAAAGAATCAAGAAAAGATAAGAATTCGAATCGGAATAATACTCTTGCGATAGACATCAGTTTTGCGGTTTTTGTTTTTATCATATATTTTGATCCAAAAATAAGAATAATATAAATAAGATATATTTGGAAATCTTTAAGTCTACTTTCTAACCCAATTTGAATCAGATTAAAATATTTTGTAGAATAAAAGATATGGCCGAAATAGTGAGGTGGTGTCAGTTTTTGATAGAGTTTGATATTTTATTCATATCTTCTCCATTATAGCTCGGAATTGATATTATAATATATCATTGGAAAGATAATTTCAAGGGCTATCCAACCATTTATGATTTTGATAAAAACTATCTGGCACAAAAACAATATCTGTCTATCTTTGAACGTCTTTCAATTCGGATAGAATTAGGACTTTCAAAAAAAGGAGTTTTATTCAATTTCAAACTATTTAATCTTATCTTTTCAAAAAGGATAATTAAGATCTTTTTAGAAACTTATAGAAGTTTATAATTAATCCTATTTGGTTTAGGAATTTGATTAAATCATTTGGACCCTCTACATGATCATTGGGTCGTAGGTAAGGTGGGCTTAGATTCAGTTTGGGCTCAGGTTAATATTTTGGCCATAACTTATTCGTTATAACTCGGATTTGGGCTTATAATATATCGTTGGAAATTTATTTTAAAGCCCCATCCAAATATTCAATCATTGGACCCAGATTATGGACCAAAATAAACTGTATTAGACGTTTATAATAAAAGGACACGAAATGAATGATTTTAAAGGATTCGAAATGAATTATTTTGGGTTTAAAGGCATGAAATAAGTTATGGTTTGGGGAAATGGGATAGATTTTGGGTTTTTTAATGAAATGGAAATATGGATTTAAGCACTCCAAGATTCAATAGTCAACTCGACCAGTAATGGCGGTGAAAGGTTGTTCATCATTGGGTTTTGTTTTGAGGTGACATTTTTAGGTGTCTACAGCTTTGCTTGAAGCCGTCCTCATTTGTTGCGATAATATTCCGAAAAATATCACCGAAGAATAACACTTGTCGATCCTTTAAAGTTCGCTTGAACTTGCTTTTGTTATGCCAGTGCGTCGGCGCTTTTGCTTCTTGAGAACCAGTATGTCGGTGCCTATGAATTGTGAACCATTGCGTTGGTGCCTTTTCTGTTTATGAACTATTATGTTGGTGCCTTTGCCATGAGCAAATGTTTAGGCGCTTTAAGCTAAGTGAGATGATCATTTATCAGGTCGATCACTTAATGCAATTGTAACCGAGCCGATTACTAAATCATGTCAAATTGCTTATAGGGGCTAACTAGCGTACTAAGGAACTTGAAAATTGTTGCACGAGGTTGAAATAATCATTCTAAGAGACCTAGAATTCTGTCGCCGCTGGAACTTTGCTGTTGCCGCGATTTTTCCATGTCGCTCGGCGCTGCACTCTGTCGCGCGGCGATAGAGCTGTCGTGCGACGCTGCTGTCGGGATTTCTGAATAAATCCCCTTTCTTCCTCATTTCGCTGCTACTGCTTATTTTTCATTCGAGTTTCTCCACGAAAAGTTCTAGTCGTCCGTTCTTGCTCATTTCTCAACCAAATTGGTTCAAATTTGTTGAAAATCAAAGCTTTGTTCATCTACTTTGCTAATCTATGTAAGGTTTTTGCAAACTCACTCGAATTTTGCATATGTTTATTCACGAATTTCTTAAAAATTCGAAACTTATATTGCTTGATTTGCTTTGTTTGTCAAATTTTATAACATGAAATTGCTTGATTATGTTTATATATTTCCTTGGGAGTATTTTGAGACTTGTTTGACTCAATTTAGTGAAGAAACGAGCGATTCACCATTGTTAAACCTCTTATGGTCGGGAGAACAATGTGGCTCATTCTTGATGTTTTTGCTAGTAATTCTTGTCCAATTTGTCACGATAATTATCATAAAATTGCAAGAAATTGTTTGATTTCTTGAAAAAATGCCATACATGCTTGAATTGAAATTGTGCTCTGTTTTAGTACTACGTACTCAGGTTTTTGCGAACATAGTATCATGCGGCTAAGCAAACCTTAGATACTATATAACCTTAATTTTTGTCTATTTTGCATAATATAGTATGGCTAGACAGCGAGGTTCCGGTTCCCAATCCCGAGACACACGACGGAGCACGAGCCCGTTCAGGAGAACACCGACCCGTCCACCTCCCTCGGTCCCTTCCCTGAGTGGGACGAGCGGACGTTGTTCTTTGCCCCGAGCACCACATTTCTGAGAGGGTGCGTCGTGGGATTGTTAGTGGTAGGACGCACAGCCATGGATCGGGAAACGAGACCCTAGGCAGGCTGTACAACAATTATTTCAGCCAGGATGAGGGGCTGCGACTTCTTTGGGAGTCTTGTGGGCGGACTGCCCTGTTCCGGGCTACGTAGGCCATGTACTTGTTCGCCGCGGGCCACCGCATGGTTCGCGCTTTCGGGGAGTTCTTCTGGGATACCACCAACACTTTTCACTTTCCTTAGGGTGAGATGACTGTCACACAAGCCGATTTCAGTCTCATCTCGGGACTGGAGTTTCGCTCGACTGCGCTGCCGTTCGACAGCTCCATTAGTGTTTTCTCTCCTGTGGTCGACGACCTGTTGGGTCTGATTGCTGTTTAGGCCCGTGCTGAGGTAGAACCATCATGATTTAGCTTCAGGTGCATTCGCCGGTCGACTCTAACGATTGCTTTTGAAGACGATGTGACCACCCGAGAGCAGCGGGTGCGCAACTTTGCACTTATTTTGCTGTCAGGACCTTTTCTCCTAACAAGGGTAGTCAGGTGCAGCTTTACTACCTTCCTGCTCTCTACTATCTTCAGCTGATCAGGACTTACGATTGGGCCAGCTTGGCTTACGCTGACTTTTTACAGGGATTGCGAGACTCTTGTCGACATCGGTCCTACATAGGAAACATCGCTCTCTATAGCTTTTGGAGAATCGTAGAGGTACACTTTATCTCTTAAAATTTAGCTCTAAACTCTTATTAGCACCTGCTGATATTCTTTTATGTTTGTAGATCTGGTTCTACGAGTACTTTCCTTCGCTTGCGCCAGCTAGACAATCTCCATGCGAGCTCCCTATTGGCGCCTGTTGGGGAGGTCGCTTCAGTAACCAGACGGCTACTGCCCGTGTCCGAGAGCTGATCCTCTTAGTATGTTCTTTTTGAATACTTGACATCTTTGTATTGCTTTTGGTAGAAGCTTTATCTTATAGGCATTCTTTGCAGGAGTCTGATGTGTTATACCGGCTATGGGGCGGTCTAGTTATCCTTGTGTTGGCTGCGTAGTACACTGTTGAGCGTCGCTACTTCTAGGGGACGTATGAGGCGGCGGTGTACCTAGAAGAGAAAGTTGCTATTCAGCACTCCTAAGAGATTTTCGACGTCCCAGCTCCTCCGCCACGCCACATGTTTTATGACGCGATGCTGCTCAACTTGTCGGAGAGGTCGCCTGCTGGTACTCCTTGGCGATCTCATGCTAGCTCGGGGCGATGCTACGAGGAGGATTTACTGCCGTTGTTAGCTCCGACCCCTGTTTTGTCTGATGAGGCAGCGGTATGATTTTTATCTTTTATCTTTTTGCTAAGTAGCCCCCAAGTGGTATTTTATTCACTTTGATTTGCTTTTTGCCAGACCCAGCCTACTGAGTTTGTTCCCCCTCGTATGTCCATCCACTGTCAGGGGACATACGGTCCTATTGAGGAGATGATCCCTTCGGATCCTAAGGATCAGTGTTTCGTAGAGCGATCTATCCCTCGTCACCGGACTCGGTTGAGTTATTTATTTGCTATTTTTTTATATCTGTCTTGTATTGCTACTGATTTTATTTCTTTGACAGTTCTTGCGCAAGGTGGTTATGGCGATGGCGAGGTGCATAGACACCTTTCGGAGCCAGCTAGTGCGGATGAGGAATGTGGCTTCCTATCGTCGCGATGACACCGTTCGCGAGGTTGCTTTTCCTCTTTATTTCTGCATTTTTTGTATTTCTATTTTCCAACCTATTCCTTCCCGTACTCGGACGAGACCTGAGGTTCGGAGAAAGCTGGCTAGGTCTAGCTCGAGGCGTCACCGCACTACTTCTGGTGGTCGGGGTGGTCGATCTAATGCTGCTCGGACCGAGGCGGTGGAGGGCTCGGTCTATTCATCTGAGAGTGCACAGGTTGGGCCGATGGGCCAGGGAGAGGCGACATCGGCTTCGGTAGGTGGTGGGACGTAAGAGGTCGGCTCGTCGTCGCAGCAGCCTCCGCAGCCTTAGTCTTTGTTTATTCATCCAGGGCGACCTTTGAGTTTCCCTCCTCCTTGTGAGACCGGGGCTGGTGGGGAGCATACTCCTCGATCTTCGCAGTTCTTTGATATGATGAACATTCCTCATCATCTGCGTCCTCCAGCGCCGTAGTTGTACCTGTGTTTATTTATTTTGACTTTTATAGGACTTTTCCTAACTGACTCGTTTATTAGCTATATTTATTAGACATATTTTGTATATATAGAGTATTATCTATTATGACTGTATTATCTTTTCATTTTTATGTGCATATGTGTGTGTGCAAAAAATTGTGATTAATTTTGCGTAAAAATTTCCATCCATTTTTTATTACTAATGAAGAGTATCCGACTTTCTCCCCCAAGAAGAAAAAATGACAAAATAAATCGGACTTAAACAAACCTAATAATTTAATTAAGTTTGAATAAATCCAAATAGAAAAGGGAAAGAAATATATTAAATATGGGAGCGGTTTGCATAGCACGTTGAGTCATTGTACGAATTCGAATCATATCCAGAAAAACGCGGTTTCTATAGCAAGTTGAGGAAGCGCTGCAGCGCCGCGTGTCGCTGAGCGCTGCCGTTGTCGCCAGGCGACAGACTCTGTTGTCAAGCGATAGGCTTGTCATTCGGGGCTGCAGTGCGCTGCTTCCGAATTCTTTCCGGAGTCAAACTGCATTGATTTTGTAAATAAATAGCCCCCTGATATGTCGATTTTCTATATAATTCGAACAGATTAATTATAACCTTAGTTTCTCAACCAAAAAAAATCATGTCTTTAGTCACTAAGAGTTTTAGCAATTCCACTCGTGAATGGTGTCGGTCTTTAACTGCTAAAGAGAGAAAAGAACTCGACTTTTTCCACATGGGAGGTATTTATGGTATTAAGGGGGTAGATCTTGACATATATTTTATTCATACCGCCTTAGAATATTGGGACACAGATACACATTACTTTAGACTAGGGTGTGATGAAATTACCCCTTTAACGGAAGAATTTGGTGCTATCCTAGGTTTCCCTTCATTAGATCTTGCGGTAACCCCTAGGGTAAATGAATATTACTATAAAGATTTTGAGCGCTTCTTTAATTTAAGAGACAGAGATCTAACAAATATTGTAGATGGTAGCGTAGTTGATCAAAAAGAATTTGCACGCCACTACCTTGATAGACCTTATTATGAATCTTTTCATGTTTATAGAAGAAGGGCTTTTCTCTTTCGCATGCTTAACCAATATCTTCTTACTAGTGGTAGAACTAATGAGGGTCAAGCAATTATATTAACTGTTTTGGAGCAAATGGAATCTGGAAGAAATCCAATGCCATTAATTGTTGGAGAGACTATGCTTAGTCTTGATGAATTAAAGAAAAATCCAAAAGCACCTCTTCGGGGCTCTCCAATTTTATTACAGGTAGAAGAATAATATTTTTAATTACAGAAATCAAAAACATATTTTTGTATAGTAATACTAATTTATTTGCATTGTTTCTTTTTTTTTTAGCAGATATGGCTAATGGAGAGGCTAGAATTAATTAGTCCTCCTGACAATATTGAAAAATATACTCCAAATTGTTTTGTAAGGCAAAAGAAATGCTTCTCTAAGATGGGGCGCCATGAGTGGAATAAATTCTTTGCTATCAAGTGGGTCGTTCCATGGTGGAAAATAGAGAAGATGAATGGTGTCAACAAGCAACCCTTCTGCCGTCTTCCAAGCTTAACCAAGATGACTTTTTATTATCCCTGCAGGGTAAAAAACAGTACGGTCTACTTCAAACAATTCCTTCTAGGGATTTCCGTCGTCCCTATGAATTCCCTATTTCACAAGAAGTAGAGAAATTTGATACCTATTGGAGTGCTAGGACTTTATGGGAAGTGATTACACAAAAGGTTCCTCCTTCCTTTCCCAATGATGTGAAGCGATGGCTTCCTAATAATCCTACAAAGGACATGAAGAAAAATCAGGGTAGAACCAATGTGAAGAATCGTCTAGGTGACAAAGTGATTCCTGTTAAGGAACGTTTGGGTGAAAAAGTTGAATTTAAAACACCTGTGATGCCTAAGAAGTAAAAATGTACAAAGGATAAAGGGAAAAGAAAAGCTGACACTTCAGAAAATAAGGTTTGGGTAGAAAAGAAACATGACGTCCTAACTAAGGGAGAAACCATTTACTCTAAAATTGAATTTAGGTCCTCTAAAGGATGCCTACTAACTAAAGTCATGGACGATGAAGAAGATGCAGATAAAAATTGGAAAAGGGCAAAGAAAGAGAAGAAAGATTGAAGCATTGCTTGACTTCCAATTTATTAGACTAGTTTAAATTTAGAGTTAATTTGTTTTATTAAGCTTTTATCTGAATTCCATCAATAATGTAATTTTTGCTTTATTTTATTAATGAAATTTCAGCCTTTTACTTAAATCAACTTTTTAAAATTTAATTTATTAAAGCAATGAAAACGAATTATTAGTTTCCATATTTTTTCTCGAGTATGGAAGTCGAAAATTTTTCGAAATACACCGAAATTTGCCCAGATATTCCAAGAGAAACGGCGCCGTTATTTTGCGTCTGTCGCCAAGCGACAGGCTCTGTCGCATTGCGCTGCAGTCTGTCGGCCGGCGACAAACCTCTTTCTGTGGCGCTGTTATTCCGTCGAATTTCTATTGCTTCTGGGATGTGAGGTTTGCGAAAATTAAAGTGGCCGCACCCTGTAAAGGTTTGCCTACGTATCCTTTCCTAAGGAATCAGGCCAAACGTAGCTCTCTTGAGTGTGCTACTCAAGCATTTATAGGTAGTACTTTTTAAGTTGGTCAAGGTTCGTCATGTTTGAGGACTGATTGCCATCCATAATAGTTAGTTTTGCTGCACCTCCAGATAGGATGGTTTTGACGATATATGGTCCAGACCAATTAGGCTTAAATTTTCCCCTTAGATCCAACCCATTTTTCCTTAATTCTTTTAACACCAAGTCTCCTACTTTGATGTTTCTTTTCTTGACCTTCGTATTAAAGTGCCTAGCCATACGGGTTTGAAAGCATTGGGTATGATGTAGAGCTTCTAGTCGGTTTTCATCAAGTAGAATTAGCTCTTCATATCTTGCTCTAGTCCATTAAACTTCATTGAGTTTACTTTCTAATGCAAGGCGTAGAGACGGTATCTCTAGCTCTACAGGTTGTACGACATCCATTCCATAAACTAAAGAGAATGGCGTATTTCATGTTGATGTGCGAATTGACGTGCGATAACCCCAAAGTGCAAAATGGAGTTTGTCAGGCCAATCCTTGTTATTTTCTGTCATTTTCTCGATAGTAGTCTTTAAATTTTTATTAGCTGCCTCAACTGCTCCATTTGCTTGAGGTCTATAGGGGGAAGAATGATGGTCTTGAATACCATATTTTTGTAGCAATTCTTCACATTCAGCTTGAAAGTGAGTTCCATTGTCACTTATCATCTCATATATGTGGGACTCCATATCGACAAATAATATTCCTTTCAATAAAGACTGCTACATGTTTCGCAGTGAGTTTAGCATATGATTGTGCTTTAACCCACTTTGTGAAGTAATCAATTGCTACTAATATGTATTCATGACCTCCTGTCCCAGGAGGATTAATTTTACCGATAATATCAATTTCCCATGTAGAGAATGGCCATGTTGAAGTGTAGGTGTAAAGTAGAGATGGAGGAACATGTTCTAAATTGGCGTAAATTTGGCTCTTAGGGCATCGTTTTACATATTTATGACAATCCCTATTCATGGTAGTCCAATAATACCCTTTTCACATTATCTTTTGGACTAGCATTTTTCCATTTACATGGGTTCCACAAATGCCTTCATGGATTATCCTCATAGCTTTTTGGGCATCCTTTTTTCCTACACATAAGAGAGCTCGACCCTTAGGTACCCTTCATGGATTGTCTATGAGTACGTATTGGGAAGCCAAGAGTCTTAATGCTCGTTTTGCTCTTTGGTCAGCATGAGGAGAATATTATCCTTTGGTGACGTAATTAAGTATATCTGTATACCACAGTTATTCTTTTTCTTCTTCATCATCTTGGATCACTTTATCATCTTCTATAGCTTGAATGTAATCCGGTTTATGCCTTTTCTCTATGGTTAGAGGCATTTTCTTGATTTCTATAGGAATCCTAACCATTGAGGCTAGTCTTGCCAAGACATCAGCAAATTGGTTTTCCTCTCTAGGTTGATAGGTTTATTCTACCTTTTACAACTGGTTGGTGAGAGTTTCTAGGTATGTTTGGTAAGGGTCTAGACTTTCACTCCTTACTTTCAATCTTTTGGAAATTTGGTTGATGATCAACGAAGAGTCTCTGAATATTCGTAATTTATTTACTCCCAATGCCAAAGCTGTTTCAAGGCCTACCACGCATGCTTCGTATTCGGCAGCGTTGTTGGTAACATCGAAATCTAGTTTTATAGAGATTGGAAATGTTCTTCTTTAGGTGATACTAATAGTACTCCAACGCCACATCCCTTTTGGTTTGAGGCTCCATTGAAATATAAAGTCCAAGTATCATCTTTTTAGACCATCAAGTCTTCGTCTAGAAATTCGTTGTCATGTATTGGCGTCGAATCTTCTATTGGGAAATCCGCTAGGAAGTCCGAGACCATAGATCCTTTGATAGCCTTTTGAGGCATGAATCTTACATCGAACTAGGCTAAATTGACTATCCACCTTGATATGCGTCCATTGAGTGTAGACTTTTCGAATAGATACTTAAGTGGATCCATTCGAGAAACTACAAGACTGTATGCACGAGCATGTAATGTCTTAGCTTGGTTGTGGCCCATACCAATGCGAGGCACAATTTTTCAAGCGGTCTGTAACGTAATTCATACTTGAGCATCTTTTTGCTTAGATAGTAGATTGCATTTTCTTTACCTTCTACTTCTTGTGCAAGCATAGCCCCCATTGTCTCCTTGGTGACTGTTAAGTACAACCTAAGAGGGATCCCTAGAAGCGCTAGTGCTAATACGAGAGGATTTACGAGATAGGCTGTGATCTTTTCAAAGGCTTTTTGATACTCGTCATCCCATATTACTGGCACATTCTTTTTGAGCTTCTTGAATATTGGTTCGCATATCATTGTTAACTTTAATATGAACCTACTTATATATTACAACCGGCCAATAAACCCTCGAATTTGTTTCTCTGTTTTGGGCGATGGCATTGACATGATCACTTTGATCTTGGTTGGGTCTATCTCTATTCCTCTAGAGCTTATGACCTACCCCAAGAGCTTTCCTGTGGTGACTCCGAAAGCACACTTAGATGGATTCAACCTCATGTTGTATTTTCTTAGCCTTTCGAAAAGTTTTCTTAAGGCTACTTGATGTCTTGGGCGATGTTTTTATTTCACAATCATATCATCGACATATAATTCAACCTCTTTGTGCATCATGTCATGGAGTAGGGCAGTTGCTGCTCATTGGTAAGTAGCACCCGCGTTTTTCAACTTGAATGGCATTACCGTGGAACAGTAAGTACCCCATGGTGTTATGAATGTTGTTTTCTCCATGTCTTCTTCTGCCATGAGAATCTGGTTGTATCCCGCGTATCCATCCATAAATGAGAGAAGTGCATGATTTGCTGTATTATCTACTAAAATATCGATGTGTGGTAAAGGGAACTCATCTTTGGACTTGCCTTATTTAAGTCTCGATAGTTGACACACATTCTTACCCTTCCGTCCTTCTTCGGAATTAGGACCACCTTTGCTACCTATTCTGGGTATTTGGATACCCTGATAAAACCTGCAGTTATTTGTTTTTGAACTACTTTTTTTATTTTAAGAGCTACGTCGGGTTTCATTCGACGCAGCTTTTGTTTTACAGGTTTCATTCCTGGAATTAGTGGTATAGTGTGTTGAGCTATTTCTCTATTAATACCTGACACATCTTCATACGACCAAGCAAATAAATCGATAAATTCTTTTAGTAGATTAATTAAATCGGTTCTTTCTTGTTTATTAAGCGTTAATCCGATTTTAACTTCTCTTTTAATGGTTGAATCATTTGAGATATCAACCATTTCAGTATCCTCAATTATTGGTGTTTTCTTTTCAAGTGTTTCCATTGCTTTAATAATTTCTTTGTCATTTTCATTGTTAGTTAAGCAATGCTCGTCATCTTGGGTTAATGAAAAACATGAGTAAGAGGAAGAAGACATATTATTCAATTATGAGATCATTACATCGAAAAGAGAAATGTCCTCAGGTACTTGATTGCTAACTATCCTAGGAGTAAAAATAGAAGAATTAGAAATAGGGGATGCTATAGCTAAAGACTTGGAAGACTACAGAAATAGACTCTGACTCTGACTCTAACTCAGACGACTCTTCAAATATTGGTCCTTGCCCTATTGTTCTTGAGGTTTTTCTTCCACTCGGAGTAGTCACCTTGACCGTCTTGCGCCATCCTTGCACTAAACCCTCCGCTGGAGTGATGAGCTTCGAAGGGTCAAAGTTCTCTCTTTGTAGGACCGTTTGGATGAGCGAGGAATTATCCTCTACATATTTCGGCTCATCCTTTTCACGCCCAAAGAGTAGTCCCATGACATTAAATTCAAAGCATGGGGGTGCTTTCTCTTGTGAATAGGAGTTGAGATCTCATCTAGAAAGTAACAATCCAGAAAGATTTTGAACGCAGGTTGCCTTATGTCATTTACAAAAAAAGGTTTGGGAAATTCATAGCATGGATAGTCCTCTCCTTCTCTCATGAAGTGTCCGTTGAGAGTAAGAGGGTACTGATCCATTGGGATTGCTTTCTTTAGGGTGTGAGCGTTCCTACGCGCCTTAGACCTTTCCTGGGCTCGTTTAAGATCTTACCGAGTCGGTTCAAAATGAAGTCTGAAAGTATCTAACTTAAGGAGGCTAGGTAATTCCATTTGTTTTGTTATCTCCTTTTTCTTTCCAAGAGTCATTCTGGGAAAGTGTCCCTGTCTCCTGAGAATAGTATTTACCGTCATATTGGAGTGGGGGTCGTGACAAAGAGGGGTCCTTTCATCCTCCTCGATTAAGAATACCTCTTCATTAAAGACCCACAAGTCTTCATCATCCTCATCGTGCTCCACATTAATGATCAGATTTTTAACAGCTTTAATCCTCATAGGTGAAGCATCGCTTGTAATAGAGATCCCTCCAACTATAGCCTTTAGTTGCTGGTGAAGAGATGAAAGAACGGTCTTGAGGTCATGAAGCCAAGGGCGTCCTAACAATAGGTTGAATGAAGCCTTAATATCTACCACTTGGAAGGTAGTGGCATGTTCTATTGCTCCCGCTATTACATTCATAGTGATTTTTCCAAGAGCTTGGCGACGTGTATTGTCATAGGCTCTTATTCCTTGTGTCGACGGGGTTAAGTCTTCATCCCTTATGCCTAACATCCTCGCAGATCTGAGTGGACAGACATTGATTGCCGATCCATTGTCTACTAGAGTCATTGGGATGTTCATCCTCTTGCAGACTACTGTGAGGTTTAGAGTCTTGTAATGCTCACTACTACAATTTCCATATTTATGGACGCTTTTCTCTCGACGCTGTGGTACTAGTGTCAATGTAGATGGATTTATATTCCGCTTATTGTCGACGCTTTTTCAAGTCGAAGCCATCTTTGGACACTAAAAAGCGTCGAAAAGTCACATGACCCGCACATGACTATTTTTGGTTGCCCGTGATTTCAATTTTTAGGGAAAAAAACAGCGGGGTTAAAAGAAACATACAAAACCGCCTAATAATTAGTTTCAGGAAAAAAAAAGCTAGGTCAGTCAAGTGAATTGCGATTGCGAATTGCTACATCCATCATTTTCCACTCAAATTCTTCACCCAATTCGTTCTGGAAATTGTGGGAATTTACTTCTTCAACCTGTCAAATTCATCGATTTATAGAGGTAAAACTTCATGCTTTTCCTTAATCTCTGGTTTGAATTTCATCTAGGGTATAGTATAATGTTCGATTTCTCATGTTTTTTGTTTAATCTCTGGCTGAAATCGAAACATCTTTGCCCTTATACGGTTTTGAATTGAAGGAGAACAAGAATCGCGCGATACTTCGAAGAATTCATTGACGATGCATCAAGTAATTTTCTGCACTTAATTAGATACAATTACTTAAACGTTTTTCAGTTCATAATTTGCGCTTTCAATTTCCAAATTTGTTGTTCCTCAATTATTCCTTTTTTTTAATTAATAAAAATGGGTCGTGAGTAGTTCTTAAATTTATGGCGATTTTTATGGGTTTTTTGTTTGGATTTTCTGAATTTTTTCAGCCTAAAGTAAAGTTTTCATCAGTTTTTGTTTAGTTTAGCTTAATTTCCCCTTTTAACTTTGCCTAATTTTCAATAGATTCGCTATAACTCGGGGAACCGATTTAATAAAAATGTTTTGGGTTTTGTCAATTTCTCATTATTATATGCTTGTTCTGCCAATTTCGATTTTGTTATGCTTAATTTTGTTGAAATTTCGTGGCTAAATCTATACTGCCTAATCCTATACTGCCTAATTCCTACTGTAGTTTTACCAATTTGATCTATACTGCCCAAGTCCTACTGTATTTTTACCATTATAATACTTGCATTTATTTTTGCACCCATGGATTTCAAACACTACTCTCTAAAGTAAAGGCTGAACGTTGGTATTACACATGCAATTGAAATTAATAATTCTTAAGTCTGTCTGAAAAATAAACTCAGAGTAATACAATAGATCAAGCCTAATATAGAGGGATAAATAGAACTTTTTGAGTAGTAAAAATTTGAATTTAGAAATTCTTTGAAGGTTTGGATTTATTTGGAAGTTTGATCTATGAACATTCCATGGAGGTCTTTAAAGTCAAAACATTGTCTGGAAAGTTCCTCTCCCTATAATAAGCTTGTTTTTCTCTCAATTTAATCTATAATTGAATTTTATTATTTGTTGTCTCTGTAAGCAGCACTTTGAAGAACTTCGTTTCAAGAAGAAAGAGGCCAAGAGATAGAAGACAATTAGGTATGTTTACAGCATGTTTGAGCTAATATATACTTCATATTTTTTAAAGCAATTTCTCATCAATAGTGAATTTGTTTGGCTGTATTGAATATATGAATCAATGTTTAGTGTATTTTGCTGTGTATATAATGGGTGTTTAATTCATTAATATTAATCTCTTCTTATATATGTGTGAATTTATTTATTAATACACTCTCGCTGATGTTTCTGTTTTAAATTGAAATATTTCGGAATCTGAATTATGAGAGTTTAATTTAATAAAACCTCTTGATAGCCTTGGTGGTGCAATTGTACTATACGGGGTTGAAACTTTTATTTGAATAATTCCTTCTTTTCAGCATTATTAGAATCACAATAGAATTATATGTATGAAAGTGACACATTCTCGATGTGATTAGTTTTTGTTTCATGGATTATCTTTGAGTTGGTTTGGTTCAATTTTGTTTTCTTAGACTGTTTCTTGGGTTTTGTTTGCTTTCTGCAATTACTCAATACTCATTTACTTTGGTTGGTAAATTAGTCGCATTATGGGTATTAGGATGAGAGGTTGATGGTGGATTTGGTTTAATTTATTATTGCTTGAGAATTTTAACTAGTTGACAAGCTTCATGTGTAGCAAACTATGTGTCCTTGGTTAACATCGAAGGACACATTAAAATCTATCTTTTTTGTTTTTTCTCTTTTTTTAAGGGGCATTTTTATCTATCTTAGCATAGGGCATCTATGCTAGCTAGGATGTAGATATTGAGAATTTAAGAAAGATATTAAGAAAGAATGCTTGTAAAATAATATTTATAATGTACATATATATAATTTGTAATTAACAATATATTTCTTTATAGACATGGATACTAGTTTTATTTACTGAAGGAACACTTTGTGATTCCTCCTGGTGCGGAATATGACAACCAGGCTCTCAAGCGTGCCAATAAATGTTGGAGGCAATACAAATACTCTTTGAAACGGCAATATTATAAGCCAGAACAGAAGACATTGGATCAGATTTGCAATAATGTGCCACATGGAATTACTAGTAGTAATTGGGTAAAGTTAGTGAAATATTGGGATTCAGATAAAGGGAAAGTATGTTCAATACTTAGCTTACTGTGCATGAAGCAATATTTAATATCTTATTCATAATTATATAATAAATACATACTCTTTGAATGTGAGTGCAGGATATGTCAGAATGCGGTAAAAAAGCACGAGCCTCCCAAGACCAGTTTCATACATCTGGCTCTAAAAGTTTTGCAAAGCGACAAGCTGATTATGTATGGAATATATATGTCATTTTGTAATTACCTAGGATTGTATTTAGAGCATGTCTTTTTATATGCGATTGATATTGTTGACTTTTCATATTAAAGCTCTTGTTGCTTTATTATTTATAGGAAGATGAACATGGAAAGAAAATGAGCTTGTTAGAGCTGTGGATTAAAACCCATACGGGTAAAGACGAAAGCTTTCTTCCTAACACAGTCACCGAATATTTTGTGGTATGGTTTTGTGACAGATTTCTGGTATGATTTTGTGCATATTTTGTGGTATAATTTGTTATAGGATGATGTTAAAGCTAAGGTTGAAGAGCTGAGGATGATGCACCCTAAGATGTCTGAACAAGAGCTCGAAGATGAAGCATTTCAGCAAACTATGTATGGCAACGAGATTCCAGATCGTCCTGTGGGTTACGGATTAGAGGTTAAAAAGGGGGACATTTTTGGAGTACGTGGTGTGTTAAGGAAGGAAGGGTATGGAAAAGTTCAAAAGAGGAATATTGTGATGGATAGTGTTAAAGAAGAAGTGAATGCTTTGCACAAAAAAAATGATACACTATCCCAAGAAAATGAAAAGATGAAAGACCGGGTCGGCCACAACAGTCTTCTTCTTAAAGCGCTTGTTGGAAATTTTCTCAGATTGTAGGTGCAGTTCGTCAAGGGAATGCATCTCCGGATCTTTTAAACAAAGCATCTGAGTTCTTAGGGAAGGCTAAGCATCAGGTAACAAAGTCAGATTTCTCTTTATAACTGAAATCAGAACTGAAATCCAAAACTGAATTCAGATCCGAATTTCAGAACTGAAAATCAGATTTGAAATCCAGAACTGAATTCAGATCTGAAGTTCAAAACTGAAAATCTAATTTGAAATCAGAACTGAAATTCAAAATGGTTGTGTGTGTGTGTGAAATTCAAAGCTTGTGTGAGTGTGTGTGAAAGTCAAAGCTTGTGTGAGTGTGTATGTGTGTGAAAGTCAGAGCTTGTGTGTGTGTGTGTGTGAAAGTCAGAGCTTGTGTGTGTGTGTGTAATAATAATAATCTGCCTAAGGTTTTCAACTCTAGAATACTCCCGTTTATACTGCTTGTCTTCCCTTCATGCTTGCTGTCCTGCTCCCCTTCATGCTTGCTGTCCTGCTCCCCTGCCTAAGCTTTGGACTTAAGGTAGAAATAACAGTGAGACAGTAGACAAGCATAGTCAGAGGATATACATGTGTTTGAATACCCTCGTGCAGTGATTTTACAGAAAGCAGAGCAGAATTTCATAGTTGAATTCAGAGCTGTATTTCAAAGCTGAATTCAGAGCTGAATTTCAGAGCTGAATTCAGAGCTGAATTTCAGAGCTGAATTCAGAGCTGAATTTCAGAGCTGAATTCAGAGCTGAATTTCAGAGCTGAATTCAGAGTTGAATTTCAGAGCTGAATTTCAAATCTGAAGTTCAGAACTGAATTTCAGATCTGAAAATCAGATTTGATACATTTATACTTAAGTCGTTGCTTAGCAGACTAATCTAATTTCAATATGTGTTTGGTATTCATACAATGAAATTCACTCTTGAGTTCTTGTATGCTTAAAGCTTATTTACAATTGGTGAATGAAATGGCTATTTTAAGTTGTTAATAATCTGATAGGATTATTGTGCTTCAAATGCATCTGAATGCACACAAATTATATATGATGTGTTAGTATGAGTCATTCTGGTATTAATTCATGTTGTTCTTCCTGACATGGCTGCTATTCCTTGTCTCAAATTGTTGTCAAAAGATAAGAAGGTGCTTCTACTAGTTGATAATGCGGGCATTGTAGTGGATAATCATGGACAGCCCGTCGGTGGTACCCTGGTATTTGGTTGTTGTGCTCCTAGTTCGATTGTTGAGTTATCTTCGTATGTGGTGATTGCTAATAATAGAAAGATGGAATTATAAGCTTGTGTGTATGTGTATAAGCCTATATTGTGTAATGTAATAATTTATACTTTGTATTTTTTTTTTTGAAGATTGGAAAAGGCAATGTAGGTGCAACAACAGAATAGACCGGGACACTTGAGCATCAAAACAAGCGACTACATCGTCTATAACACCATCATCTATCTATTTTGGTTATTAGTCTTAATTATATTAGTGATGTATTTGTTAGGGAAAAGCTACGATAATATGCGACTTTTTTGTAAAAAAAAATTAACTGTGTTGATATTTTGGTTTATAAATTTGGTAATTTAATCAACTACGTACTCTTATTATTGTTGATAAATTATTGATTTTTTTTTAATCTGATCTAGTTATAAGAATATTTATTTACTTTAATTTAAATGTTATTAATTTAATTTATGATAAATTTAAATAACTATAATGTCTGTATGATGGTAATAATTTAATAAAAGGAACAAATAATAATAAAAAAAAAGCTTAAAAAAATTCTAGACGCTTTTTGATGTCTACATATTTTGCATATTTTCACATTTCAAAAGTTCCCGTCATACCATAGGTTGACACGAATAAACGCAAGACAACAAAAAGCGTCGCTAAATTTGAGTATGTGGACATGTAAAAGCGTCACAAAAAAAACTAAACAAACTTGGAAAAATGCGTGAAAATTAGTATTTTTCGACACTTCGTATATTAGTTTAGACACAAAAAAGCGTCGAAATTCCCGACGCTTTTTTTGAGTCCCTAAAAATTCTCGACTCACGAATTCTCGACGCTTTTTAGCAGCGTCATTAATTTGGAGGGTTAAAAATTTTAGCAACTCAGTAACACCAGCCATTTGCTTCTTGAGCTCGTTAACTTCTTCTTGAATCGCCATTATCTTCTTAGCTTTCCTTTTCCGACCGATTGATTTGTCAAAAAGCTGTACTTGAACAAAAAGGTTGTCTCTGATAAAACGCCCTTCCTTTCTTAACCACGCGCTGAAAATTAAACCATTTTTTTATTTTAATGACTTGATTCAAATTGACTTTGACTTTACGGGTTTATAAAGAAAAAAGCAAAAATAGGGTGTATATTTTTGGGAATCAAGTATATGGGTTCAAACAAGTGGTTTAATTGGAGGATTAATATCCGACTTACCCCCCTAAAAAAATGACGGAAAACACGCGCATACAAGACTCTCTAGACATGGTCAAAAATATTAGTGTGTGCTTTATTTGTGAGTGCAAGTGACATCTTTTACTCTTGTGTAAGACCATGGGACTTAGTGCCTAGACTCAATTAAGGACTAAACAAGGGTACTATCATTAACAAAATATTCAAACTGATTAACAAACTTGTTTAATTAGACATTTTGTGGTGACAAGAGCAAAATCCTGAACTGTCGCCAGGGCAACAGGACTATCGCCGCACAATGCAGCACCAGACGATAGGATTATCGCTCGGCATTGCATAGTAGTGTGTGGCGCTGCAGCCCAAATTTTTGCGCCATTACTGGATCATTAATCTGGGACTGCTTTCAGTATTTTTACTATACGGGACAGGCCTAAAGTCATAATAAGTCAATTTATTAAACTTTAATTACTCAAATTAATTAATTAATTAATTAATTAGGAAAAGTCTTTTTAGTCATTAATTGGTTTATTTAAGATTAAACACAAGTAAAAAAAAGGTTAGGAAAAACACATAGAATATGCACAAATAGTCAAGTAGGCACGATATAATGCAATGAGTTTGCAACCTAACCATGGCTCTAGTTCTCTAAAGTTCAGGATATAGATTAGTCAAAGAGGGTCCATGGTTATGAGTCTGGATGCACCGCGCGGAAGCCATATCTGTAAAAGGGTTGGCGTGAGTGGATGGGACCCCACGAGTTAAACTCGCTTCCATGGTTTGGTGAATTCAACATTCTCGGATGTACCCTTTGTTGCTCAGAGCGTTCAATCAGGTAGATGGAGCATGAATTCTCAGAGGGTTATGTCCATATGTAGAACGCATATGAGTTTCAGAAAAAAGAGAAAAACTCAATAAAGGAAGTAGAATCGAGCCAACAGTGCTAGAACTAGTCGAAATTAGAACTCGTATTTCTTGCTCGGTATTCGAAGAATGCAGCGCCAGCCAACAGAGACTGTCGCTGCAATATAGCCCTGTCGCCTAGCGACAGAATTGTCGCTCGACGACAGAGCCATATCTTCGGCGACATGCTCTGTTTGCTAGACGCCAGTTCTTACATGCCTCAGTAGCTTTCTGTGTTCGTAAAATTTTCCAATTTTTCGCAGCATTATTTCAATTCTAGTTGTGAAAGATATTCCTCAAATTTCCTACGTGTAAAGATCCTATGTTTTTGACTCATTACGGATGGTCTTTCCAATGAGATCCTTTTTTTTATGCATATGACAATAATGTTAATCAAAATTACGCACATGAAATACTTAGAACTTTTCGAGTCTCATCCACTCATTTTAAATCATTGTCGAAATAAATTTCAGGAATTAAAATAGAAATCCTCCCTTGTGGAATCGCCAAAAACTGTATGGAATATTTCAAGCATTACCCTAAACTTGAACCCCACTATGATCATACACTACAGTACGGTGGCATCCAAAGAGAAGGAAGCCAGAGCAAAAGAGTCGCCAACAAGTTTTAGGAACTTGTAAACCGTTCACAGGGTGAAGGTTACACCCCTTAACGATCCAGGAGATCGTTAACTCTAATAGGTCTGGAACCATGACTGGAAGTTCGGGGATGAAGGTACAAATTCAATCTAAAAGAGAAAGAACCTGCCCTAAAAAATAGGCCTCTACTTTATTTTTCTCGTAATCATGTGCGCTTTTTGACTAACATGCAATCAATAGGTTAATCCGACACCTGTTTATCTATGTTGGTTGAATATTAGTGTACAAAATCCTAGGCATGATACTAATAAGATTAATAACAAACCCTAGCATGTCACTAAATAATAAAGATCAAAGTCGTAGCCCTAACATGATACTAACATGCTATAAGGAAAGAAAGTAGGAAGCATCATGACAATCATACTTAATATTAGGAATTTTTAGTTAATACCCTAAACATGATACTGAGAAGCAAAATAATCTAAGCATGATTTTTATATAAAAATATCAATAAAGTAATTAAATTATTTACTTGGATGCCTCGTACCTTTTCTAATAACAAAATACACACGTTAGTAACTTCAAGGAAAATAATAAAATCAAAGAATTAAATTAAATAATTGAAAGAGGGATTTGGGACCAAACCCTAAGAAATATCAAACATTTCACATCTAGGGCAAAGGCAAATTTTAATTGGGCTAGGTGTGTCTAGATTTTGAGAATGCGGAATTTTGTTTGTGAAAAGGTTGGTTTAGAAAAGAGAGAGAGAGAATATCAAGAAATTCTTGATGAGAGTCTTGATGAGAGTTGATGGAGAATTGATTGGAGTTGATGATTAAAAACGGAGGTTTAAGGAGGCTATTTATAACGAAAATCAGCCGGAATATGATAAAAAAGAACTAGAGTTTCGAGAAGAATAAAACACGACGATGTCGCCGCATAAGCCTTTATCGCTGCGCGATAGAGTTGGTCGCCAGGCGACAACCTGTGGTGCGGCGCTGCAGCCAGTTTTTTCACATGTTTTTCATATTTTGATAAAATTTAAGCGTACAAGGGGTAAAACTGTAATTTCCTTTAAAACACTACTTTTATTCTAAATAAAACTCTTAAAACTCAATTGTCATTGCTAATCACATTAGGATTCAAAATAACCTTCTAGAAGATTCTAGAAGACTATAATCAATCCTAATTGCATTAGGAATGATAAATCATAATAGGCCCTCCTCTAGATCATTGGGCCGCATATAAAGATCAAACCGAGCCCAGTTTTCGAGCCCAATCCAACTACGCTATTATTGGAACCTTAACATTGACTAAACTAAACTAGATTGACTATTTTCATAGAATAGGTTTTCAAAAACAGAGAGAAAGAAGAGAATTAAAACTAACCGCAACGCTAGACTTTCCACACTTTCACTTCATTCGATTATGATTCAACGTGAAAGGTATTCATCACTGAGTTTTGTTTTGGGGAGACACATTTAGGTGTCTACAATGATGAATACTTGTAGGCCATGAAACTAAGGAAAATTACATCATGTGTCACGATCAATGAATGCACTGAGGCCGTGAAGCTAAGCACGATAGTTTGTTGACAATGTATTTTGCTTTGGTAAGGAAGTTAAGCATCATATGTAGTGTATGAAAAAAAAATAAACCATCTTGAAAGATGCTTAGATTTTGAAGCTAAGCACGTGTACAGTGGTGATTGCTGAATATTTCATAATGAACATTGCTTAGGTCAAGGAGCTAAGAACGATATGATTTGTATAATCATAAATATTTGATATAAAAATGTTGCTAAGAACATTGTGCGAGGCGTGAAACAATGAATATTTCTTAAGCCAGGAAGCTAAGCAAGTATACCATGTTTCTTTTTAATGAATGTTGTTCTGAAACAAGCTTTCATGATACGGGGTTCCTAATGCAAGGAATGGTGTCCTTCAAACAAGTGTATTATTCTGATAGTGGGTTCACAATTATTAGAAAGCTAATATATTCAGTAAGGTCAAGTGATCGGAATGCCTAGGTGGAGGCTACTTCCGATCAGTAATATTAATGTATAATTAATAATGTATAATTAATATTACAACTTAATCTTCACTGAACCCTTCGGGTCACACCCAAGCAATTAACAAACCAACTCGATGAATTAATTCGTAAGAAATTAATGAGTGGCCTGAGTATTAAATATTTAGACGTCGGAAATTCGAGTTTAAAGCATCGAAACCGAGCGTCGGAAGTCGAGTAAAAAATAGTAAATGTCGAGACGCGCAAAATAATAATAAATCGATAATATTCCCAAAATACCCTTAGCATCGGAATGCCCCGAGCATCCGAATGCTACGGGCATAATATGCTAGCACAAGTGGCTAGCATGCGCACCACGCCGAGCCAAGGGTGGCTGGCTAGTGCGAGCTAGCGCACCGTGCTAGCAGCCGCAAGCACACCAAGGCAGCAGCTGCTAACAGCCCGTACATGGTGTGCGCGGTGTGCTAATAGCATCCCGCACTTGGAGTGCGTGGCTTGCTAGCCACAACAGCAACCTGCAACTCCAAGTGCAGGGCTAGACTTTGGTTGGGCTACGGCAAGGCCTAAGGCATGGGTAGTAGGGCCGAAAACCATGGGAAGCAAATGGAAGCAAGTGGGTGAGGGACATCTGGCACAAGGAGAGTATGGAGTGGGGAGAAAGTATGGTCCCTTACTATCCA